GAATGATTTGCACTTGTTAAGGAGCAGAATTTCACATTGACACATTTACCTCTCACAATTTATTCCCTCGGAGATAAACGGTTCAGGATTTAAATTGCAAGTTAACCTAGTAAACTCTAACTGGTTGTGAACAAAAAACTTGGAGCCATCAAAAATTTCTCAAAAAATTTTGGCCCTGCTGACTGGTACGGTACATCCCTTCATCTCACATCTCACATCTCACTCATCTCTCTTCTTCTCGAAGCTTCTTGCTCCATCTTTTCCTTACTCAAAATCCAAATCCAAAATTATAATGTGAACAAGTCAAAATATGACTCCATCATTCACAATTGTTGTGCAAAGAGAAACCAAAGTGACAAAATTAAACACGGTCAATTTCATTATCAAAGTCTCCTCTGCTTAGTATTACGCTTCAAGTTTTTTTTTCTTAAGACCTTTTCATCTGACCTGATCGCTCTACGAGCCCTCACAAAAATTGTTATAATTAATATAATAAGTATTAAATTCTGAAAACCTAAAATTTATATCATAAAAAGTGAAAAAAATTACTCATTAGTTTTATCATCACAAAAAAGCTGATGTCGTTGACTCTAAACTTTTTTCGTTGACACAAGTGTTTAAATAAAATGGCATTCAATGACGGAAACAGAGGATGTTTGCTCTTAAGTTGTTAAGTTATTTATTTTAAAATGGCTTGATGATATATGTTTATACAATGCAGATGCAACAATCTTTGTTATCTGCGTTTTAGATTGTACTATCTGTTGTATTAATAATATTCAAATGTACATGAACCTTGAATAATAGAAACGAAAGCTAATCCGAACTAAACTTCATTCATAGCAAATTCACTTGAAATTAAATAAGTGAATTGTGCCGCATATTATTATGAAATATTTCTTTATAATCTATTGAATCATTACCTGCTTCGAATGCTGTTTTCACAAGAATTATTGATTATGTTTTACATGAAAAAAAAACAATTCTAGCAGTTTATTAAGGTTATAAAAATTGAACAAAAATACGTGCTAATTCTTTCACTATTGCCAATTTTTTAAAAACCAGCGTTTATTCAAAAAAGTAGAAGTAGCCCCAAACAAATTCTAAAATCTTTCCAGCATGCTCAAATGTTTGATATTTTATGAATAATAAACTTGCTGATGCAGAGGCACATCATCTGGAAACAATGCTCATTACAGTCGAGTACCTAAAATTGTCAGTCTAATGTTCAAGGCGCAGAATTTGAAAAACTGATTTCCAAACTTCAAGAGTTGCAAATTTGATGATGCTTAATTATTTTCATTGGTCCATATGATTAATGCAATATTGACTTTTGTCACTATTACTATCTTAAAACAAGTGATTCACAAACGGGTACCGCTTTGAATGGCTTGTAAATCGATAGCTCAGACACAGCAAATAATGAATCATAAAAACGGGATTTTTTGCATGTTAACAAATAGTTCGATTCAATTGAGAAAACTAACAAGTAGAGATAGAATGATGGACGAATTTTGGATCTCGATTCTCGAAATTCAAAAGATCGACTCAAAGATTGATCAGGGACCGATCTTTTGGTGTTTCAAGGGCGACTATAAACTCAAATGATTGAGTAAAAAACGCAATCATCGAAAATCTATCGCTTTTAGTGTTATTTCAATAAATTTTTAGCTGTTGTATCTTTATCAGGTACTTGCATTTTTAAAAGATTGATCGCAATCAGACTTTTCAGTCTTAGACTTATTCAATATTTTTGAATGTGCACAGTTCAATGCATACAAAAGTTGGCAAATTTTACCTCCACATTATCCTTTGAATTGTAAAGATAATGTCATTTACAGCTTTGTAAATAATAATTGTCACTTATAAAATTATTTTCATTTGCTGATCAAACCAAATTCAGGTATATAAAGCTTCTTCCAAATCATTTGGTTATCAATCCTTACTCGAGTCAACTTACAGTGATCATCTCGTATACAATATCACCATGAAATTTTCAATGTATTTCGTTTTGTTCTTCTTGGCCATTCTGGTGAGTATTATTATAGATTGCTAGCAAGCAATGTATTTTGAAACCTAGAAAGATGAAATTTTACCGGCTAGCTAATCGAGCTATAAGTTTTAATAAATTTTCAATTCCATCCTATAGATTTGTCCATCATCGCCACAACGCACCCGTGGCTCATGTGCAAACGGAAAAACATGTCCAGAAGGATCCTTTTGTATCAAGCGAACTGGTAAATGTCTTGCAAACGGTTGAGAGAAAAATCATTGTGATGGTGTGACTTGGGCATTTGCTAAAACAAAAACAAGTCGTTTTTCACTGTTACTTGCAAAATGTTGAAACAAGAATTTCTGTTAATGAATTTATGCCATCTTAGATAAAATGAATAAAGAAATCCTAAAATAAATTATAAATGCCATTTGTGTCTTTTCCTTTTTACTTACGAGGGAAGTACCCGAGGTCATCCGAATAAAAGTTAATACTTTTATCAGAAATCAATTAAGTTTTATGAGTGTTTAACTGTCTCGAAATCTCCCGGGTAGCAAATTAAAGATAAACGAGAAAAACAGAATCAAAATTCAATTTTTTACATGTAAAGTATGGTAAAGAGCATGCAAAACAAAATGAGTGAAACAAAAAGGCTCATCGCAATGGGTTCATATTATTGCTTTCACATTGATCTATGCATAGCGATAGACAATAAATGGCGCTTTTCGGCCCTTCTGTCCATTTACTACTCAAAAGAATACGAACTACATCGTTTATTAATAAGACGAGTTCAATGACACACTAATTATTGAAATCGGTTCGGATGACCTCGGGTACCCCCTTGTTAGCAGAACGTCATTATTCAAGCAGTTTCATGAATTGCTATCACATAACGACTGCCAGAACTCAATAAATGTTCAGCTATATGGACGAAGGAAGAATGCGTTGAAAAATTATTAAATCTAACTTATGATATGAGAAATTCAGTTCCCGCAGAGCCGAAACAATTCCATTTAATTGCAACTAAAAAATATTGTAATATCTAAACTTGACTGAGAATTTAGGCTTACCAATTCACTTTGGGTATCTGTAAGATATTAACTTTAATTTGGTATTTTCCAAGAATAATTGAACCTCAACAAATTAAAAATTTATTTACATGAATGTATTTTATGAAAGAGGATACTGCAAAACCATGTTTTTGGCATATGGCAAAAGTTCTCTTATTTTATTATTGAGCTTATTTGTGTCGACAAGCATAAGCTGCTAAAGGCATCAACGTATTCACAGTGGACATCAAACTTCGCATTGTGCATACTTATGATTTAAGATGAATTCATACGCGAAAATTTTCGAGAAACTAATCTACACCCGATTAAATTGAAGGTTTGGGTAGCAATAACAGTGATAGAAGTTTTTCACGCTTATAAAACGAAAAAAGCTGGAAAGGTTATTTGGATTTCTTGAAACAAGTTTTTATCGACAAATAACAAGTTTCCGATCTCGGAGGTGGCGGAGGTTTAACTAAAAATCGAAGTGATCTGTTGCACAGAAACAGAGAATTATTTCGCGAAATAGTTGCATTTTCTGTTTAGCCATCAAAAGTTACCTCAGAAAAATAAGTTTCATGAAAAAATCTTGTCCCATCATTGAAAAAAAGGCGATCGAAGTTTGCACTTTGACCTCGATTTTCTCAAAAACTGATGATCGGAGAAAATTTTTAATGCCACTAATGGACTCAGTTTTTATGGGCCTACAAAGTTCCAACTCTTAACTCGAAAGTCAGAATTTTTACACATACTCCTTTATACACTTTATTTGTACTATCCTTTGGTTATCATATGGATGTGGCATGTTGATTCTGAACCGGATCATACCTAGACAATACACCTAGATGTGGACAATTTTTAAAGAAACTCGCACTACTCAATATTTCTGTTATGTTGATTTTTAATATTCAATGAAAATCAGGTGCTGCTAACATGAAAGTGAGGGTGCAAAGGTAGATTGATTTGTAATACTTCAGCTTGAAGTGGTAGAATCCTTTTCTGTTTTCTCATATTTTTCAACTGTTTATACGAAATTGAATCAAAACAAAGTAGGGTCTCCAAAATTTTAAATTTTACCTTTTTGCGTTAACTTAATTTTTCTTGATACAGTTGTGCATAGTTTTTCTTATTTTAATTAGTGTAGATTTGATAGCTTTGAATGATTTTGACTTGTTAAAGAGCAGAATTTCACATTGACACATTTAACTCTCACATTTATTCCTCGGAGATAAACGGTTTCAGGATTTTAAATTGCAAGTTAAACCTAGTAAACTCTAACTGGTTGTGAACAAAAAACTTGGAGCCATCAAAAATTTCTCAAAAAATTTTGGCCCTGCTGACTGGTACGGTACATCCCTTCATCTCACATCTCACATCTCACTCATCTCTCTTCTTCTCGAAGCTTCTTGCTCCATCTTTTCCTTACTCAAAATCCAAATCCAAAATTATAATGTGAACAAGTCAAAATATGACTCCATCATTCACAATTGTTGTGCAAAGAGAAACCAAAGTGACAAATTAAACACGGTCAATTTCATTATCAAAGTCTCCTCTGCTTAGTATTACGCTTCAGTTTTTTTTTTCTTAAGACCTTTTCATCTGACTGATCGCTCTAC